CGGGAAACTGCTCGGTACAGACACATCTGAGGCTGGCTGTTGCATCCTGCTGCTGTCTGTTCGTGTTTCCCGAGCCTGCAGGGGAAAAGCTTGTCACCTCCTCGGCGTGTGGAGTGACAAGACTGTTGCTGTTGCTCCTCGGGTGAGGGAAACAGGACTGCATAGCGCGCAGAGGACGATCCCCCGCCTCCTGAAAATACTAGTTCTTAGAAAACGGTTCAGGTAGGCAAAGGGAAACATGCCGGCCACACAGAAGCCCATGAGGTATGGGCATACGGAAGGACACACCGACGTCTGTTTTGATGATTCTGGAAGGTAAGCGTCTTTGGAAATTAAACAAAAAAGAGAGAGAGAACTACTCAGGTGTGAATGCTGGCGGTCTCTCACTGCACGTACAGTCAGCCGAAGAAGACCGATGCGGAGCGAGACAGGGAGAGAGAAACAGGAACGTCTATTTCCTGAGACTTGCTTGCTTTCCACCGTCGTGGTAGTTCTAGGATCTCAGGAAAGTTAAAATCCTTTTCCCAGAGGAGCGTCTTCTCGCCACTCACAGTTTCATTCGGTGTCAAGTTCATTTTATGACCTCGCTCACTGCACACTGCTTGTCAAATCCCTCATCCCGTCGGGACTGGTAGCCTCCTTTGGCTTTAGTAATGTTATATTTCTCTTTGTTCTCACTTTCCTTTCCTTTTTAACTTGCTGACTTCGAACCGCCTTTGTTCTGTTTCATTCCTAACCTGTTATTTTACTGAGGCGATTCCCTTCTCTTAGAAAAAAAAAAGATATATTTATTTTGTTTTATGTCTCTGTGTGTGTGGGGTTGAGTATATTTGAACTGCTGTGTGGGTGCTGGGAACCGAGCCCAGGGCCTCTGAAAGAGCAGTAAGTGCTCGTAAACATCTCTACAACCCCCTATTCTTCCCTTTTATCTTTCTAAATGCTATTCCTGTCAAGTACTGGTAAGGTATGGCTCCAATGCCACACCTCTCTGTTCAATGATCCATACACAAATATTTGTGAGTCCACTTTTCTGGGCTAGATATAATGACAACAAGCCGTTACCATTTCCTTTATTGAAGTTAAGGTCTTTTTGGATTAATAGGCATCAGGCACAAGTTAATTACAAAATGGATGTATGTTTTTGAAATATACTTAGAACTACTAAGTGACAAGCATATGGGCAGAGAAGGTGATGTAAGTTAAAGGACAGAAAGTGTCTCTAAGGGAGTGTCTTGAAATGAGAACTGAAGATTGAATAGGTATTAAGTAGTATTAAGAAATAAAGGTGGTCCAGGGATGTAGCTTTAGTGGTACTGCATTCTCCAGCCTCGTGAAAAAGAAAGAAAAAAATACAAAGAGTTGGGGGCCTGGCAGTAAGGTGGCGATGTTGGCATTCTGAGTATGTTCAAAAGACCAGTGGAGCCAGGGGCCCTGCTTGCTTAAAATGAAAAGGTATCCATACTAGAATGTAAAGTGATGTTGAGATTCATGAGATGGATATGTGAGGGTAAACAGGGGGTGTCCTATGCAAGGCTTTCTGCTTTTAAACTTGTGTGGAGGGGATGGGGAGGTGGCCAACCTGAGTTGAGATGGGCCTGTCATACCAACGGTTAGGAGGTGGAGGCAGGGAATTCCCAGAGCACACAGGCTAGCTGGACTAGCTGGATTCATGAATTCTGGGTTCAAGACAGACCCTCCCTCAATATGTGAGAGCTATAGAGGAAAACATGTGACATTAACCTCTGGCCTTCACATGCTTGTGCCCACACATGCACATGCACCCACAGACGTAGGAACACACACATAAACACAGGCATGCAGGCAACATACATATATGCTTGCATGTACACAAGGAAGAATCTTGATTTTGTCCTAACAGTGGGAAGGTATGGAAGGTTTGAAAGAGAGTACAGTTATTCATAGAGAAGATGCATAGAGGACGAGTTGGTAGGAGGTGCTTTGATTAGTTGAATGGCAGAAATGAGCATTAGAGTGGAGGTTAGTATGGAGAAAACAGGTAATCAATGGGATAATTCAGTTGTTAATGATAGAGAGAAAGATGTCTGATAACACCTGCATATCTGGATGTTATAGTTGAGGAAATAATACTGTCATTTGTAGGTCTGGAAATACTTGACACTTGAAGAAGAGCATGGTTTAGAGGGGAGGAAGGAGCAGAGATTATGAGTTTGCTTTTGGACAAGGTTAGTATAGGATGTCTTTGAGTTGTTCAATTAGAAATGTAAAGAAAACATTTTTAAATCAGAACGATGTGAGCTAGGGTAGAAATACACATATCTCTTTAAAAGTTGGGGGCCCTCTTAGGTCATCCATGCCTGGCTATTGACTGGTCTTTTCTTTTGCAGACCCAGTGTAAGCATCAGCAGTTGTAATTTGCAATGTCTCTCTTGCCCAGAAAATGGGATTTTGCAGCTTCCTCTTCCACAGTGTTCCCTGAGTGTTAGAGAACATATGTAAATGCCTTGTTTAGGGCTTGACACTGAGAAGTTACTTATCCATCTTGTGCATTCATGAGTCTCTGCATTGACTTCCACTCACTGCAAATAGAGGCTTCTCTAATAAAGGCTGAAAGTAGCATTTGTCAAGTACATAAATATTTAGAAGGCAGTTTAAGGCTGTTCAGTTTAGCTAAGCAATAGTATTAAGTACCCACTAGGGTCTGTGACCTCCCCTGCTATGGACTTCTGGAAGGGTTTACAGTACCAGGAATGGGTTCCCCTTTGTGGAAAATGCCCACACAAGTGGACGTATCTTGTCTAGAAGCTGGTATCCTAGAGGCAGGGTCTCATATAGCACAGGCTGGTCTCAAGCTTAATATGTAGCTGAGACCGACTCTGTCCTCCAAACACTGAGATTATAGTCAGCACTACCACCCCTGGCTAAACACTTTCTTATGACCCTTTCTGGTTTTCCCATTTGGGAGTTAATCATTTTTTCCTTCTAAACATTCATTTTATTCATACTTCTTTCTTCCTTCCCTCCCTCCCTTCCTCTTTTTTTTTTTTTTTTTTTTTTTTTTTTTTTTTTTAATTTGCAGGGCTTTTTGTTTTTGTTTTTTTCTTGAGACAGGGTTTCTTTGTGTAGCCTTGGCTGTGCTCACAGAGATCCACCTCCCCAGTGCTGGGATTAAAGTTGTGAGCCACCACCAGGCTAATTTGCAGCTTTTTATGTATCCAGGTAGGACATTAGAAAAAATAAACAAAAGTACTTGGGAGATGAGAATTTTGAAAAACAAGTTGTAACAGATGCATGTAGCTATTTTTAATAATTATTCTTGGGTAATTGAGCTCATGTATTTATTCAGCAAACATTTGCTATAGGTTCTGTGTGTCATATGTTGCTTGGTACTGGGGATATAATGGTGATAGAGACAGAAATAGTATATGCTGTTGCAGAAATTAGGGGCTCATTTTCTTTTACATTATTACAAGAAATAATTTTATGTCAAGGAAGAACCATGGCTAACATTAAACTCATCTTCATTTTATAGAATGAGAAGCTAGCAGTCTGTTATTGGTGTTTACTTGCAAAAAATGAGAAAAATGTTCACTAATGTCTTGATTTTGTTTCAGCATAAGGTAGCATTCCATAAAGAGTATTTATCCCTGAAACTGAGTGACACTTTAATATGTCTGTGTTCTTCACAGTTTCATTGTGACTTGTGGAAGTGACGGTGATGTGAGGATGTGGGAAGATCTGGACGATGATGATCCTAAGTCCATTAATGTTGGAGAAAAGGCATTTTCATGTGCTTTGAAGGTACTTAGCTCATTTGATGTGAAGTAGTGCTGACATGTTACTTTTTAAAAATTTATTTAAATTTATTTCATGTGCATTGGTATGAGGGTGTCAGATCCCCTGGAGCTGGAGTTACAGACAGTTGTGAGCTCCGTGTCTGTTCTGGGAATTGAACCCCGGTCCTCTGGAAGAGCAGCCAGTGCTCTTTAACTGCTAAGCCATCTCTCCATCCCCAAGCATGTTACTTTTATACTTGGGTGAAAAGTTATGTAAAAATGTAAGTTTCTCTTTGCTTCATTTCCCTTGCTCTGTACCATATTTTTAATTACGTGTGTGGACTAGGCAGTGGTGGCACACACATTTAATCCCAGCACTCAGGAGGCAGAGACAGGTGGACCTCTGTGAGTTTGAGTGCAGCCTGGTCTACAGAGCGGGTTCCAGGACAGGCACCAAAGCCATAGGGAAACCCTGTCTCAAAACCAACAAAACAACAATAATAATAATGTGTGTGTTTGCAGTTGTACATCGAATCCAGCAGAGGGCATCAGGTCCCTTGGGGCTAAAGTTACAGGCAGTTGTGAGCCATCTTGCATGCTGGGAACCCTGGAACATTCAGGTCCTTTGGAAGAGCAGTAAGTGCTCTTAATTGCTGAATCCAAGAGTGAAAATGTTTCTTATAGAAGCTTTGAATATACTGTGTGTGTCTTTCTTTACACCCCTCCCCTGTGTTTTTTGTTGCTTTTTGTTTCTTGAGAGAAGGTCTTCTGCCACCAAGGCTATAGCCAGGGGAGACCTTGGACTCATGGTACTCTGGAACCTGAACTGCTTCCATCTACCAAGTGGCATGATTATAGGCATGCACCATCATTCTGGGTTTATGTAGTCTTAGGAATCAAACCCTGGGCTTCATGCATGTTAGGAGAACACTCAACCAACTGACATACATTACAGCCTAGGATCACTGTAATAGCAAAAGTTGGAAGCAATTGAGGGGATTCTCAGAGAATTTGTTTTATAACTTTGCTAGAACCATGGAATAGACATGAAACTACTAAACAGGGTAGCTTTTGTTAATCTGAATCAGAAAAGATGTTTATAATAAACAAAAAAAATTAAAAAGTTGTAGAAATATCTGTTTAGTGTGATCTTTGTTAAAGGTTTTAAAAATACAAATGTATTTGCATGGGTTTAGAAAAAAGTTAAAATGACAACCTTTGAATGTTAATAGAGTAGAAAGCTCTTTTTGCTCAGAGCACTTTTCTTTTTTTTTCTTCAATAAGCTAGGAGATTTTTCTTACTAGTGTTTACTTTAGGTAAATTGTATACTGATAAGTTCTCTCTCGGCATGAACTACAGTTCTAAGACTTTGAGGTTTTTATAGGATTTTTCACTATGGAGATACTATTAACTGATTTGGATTTGTTATGCCAGCATGTCTGACGGTTTTTTGGTTTTTTTTTAAGAATGGAAAATTGGTCACTGCAGTTTCTAATAACACCGTCCAAGTCTATACATTCCCTGAGGGAGTTCCTGATGGCATATTAACACGCTTCACCACAAATGCAAACCATGTGGTCTTCAATGGAGACGGTACTAAAATTGCTGCTGGGTCAAGGTGAGCACCCCTCCCACACAGTGTTAGAAGGCTGATAGTTTTAGGACACTGTATACCTTTATTATTGTTGCCAACTCTTTAATAAAGGGTTTTGAGGACAAACTTGTGGATTAAAAAACAAATGAAGTACATTGTTTTTAGTGCTGAAAAGATCAGATAAAGGTTATAAATTGTTAGAAATTTAAAAAAAAAATGGTTTTAGGTAGAACCAAAGTCCAGATTTCTGTAGAATCTCTTTCTTTTTTGTATTGTTTTGTTTTTTAGTCAGGGTTTCTCTGTTGTAGCCCTGTTAGCTCTTTAGTTCCCTGTATAGACCAGGCTGGCCTCTGCTGGCTTTGAAGGCAGGTACCACCACACCTGACTTCTGCAGAATCTTTTAATCCTCCTTATAGGAAACAAAACAAAACAAAAACCAAACGCACAAAAAAACCCTTGTTGAATTGCTGAGGTGGGGTGTGATAGTACTTTCTAAAATGGTTGTAACTGTTAATCAAATTAGCAATAAGAGCTTAGAAGTATCAAGAGAGGCCATTTAGGCAGTGCTTATATTTTAACAAGGTAAGAAGTTTTGACTTGTATTTTCAGCATTTTTATTGAACAAAAATGAAACAACATGTTATTAAATTTGGGTGTCAGTTTGCAAGTTGTTATAAAAGAAATATAGCATTCACTCTTGGTTTTGAAATCCATGTTTTAGAAGAGACTTTTGTATTGGCATTTACTCATGTGATTCCTCTTAACTGTTCGTAGTGATTTTTTGGTCAAAGTTGTGGACGTGATGGATAACAGCCAGCAGCAAACATTTAGAGGACATGACGCCCCTGTTTTAAGTCTGTCTTTTGATCCTAAGGATATCTTTCTGGTAATTCTTTCATTCCTTTTTTGTTTTCTTCATTATGTTTAAAACTATGGGAGAGTTGGTAGGAGAATTTACCCTATTGGTAAAAGACTTGTTTTAATCAGATGACCCAATTCTATGTGGTATTATAGCTGTAATTATAGAGAAATATGTTGTTTATTTCTGCAGGCGTCATCTAGTTGTGATGGAACTGTCAGAGTGTGGAATATTTCTGATCAGGTAAATTAGTAAATTTTAATTTAAAAGTTTTTCCCATTTCTATGATATTTTGGGTGTTGTAGTATATTATTGACCCAAATAGTTATTTATCTTTGTAATCTGTTTCTTTGAATACCATTAAGCATTGCTTTCTTTATTCCAGAATAATCTGATATAAACATAAATATATTGAACAATAGTTGCTTTTATACCAGCTCATAGGAGGAACTGTAAATAAAACTTTTAAGCTTGATAAATTAAAGGGGGCAAGTTAAACATTATATATTTTGAAGATAACTACCCTGCCTGAGGCCTTGTGTTAGATGTTGCTGATACAGAAATAAATAAGACAAAGGCCACACTTGATTTGGAGAGTGAAATAGAACTTAAACTTCTGTTAACAAAGCCTGGTACGGGTTTTTTAAATAGCTCTCCAGATGGGCAGAGGGAACCATCTGGTCAGTAGGTTTGTCATCATATAGATTCTGTGGCTGATAAGGAAAATATCCTTCACAGATAGGCCTTAGTGGCCACAGTTCCTTCCAGAAGTCTTGATGGAAGTAGCTCTGACTTTGATAACTTTGATGCCTTACCATTTTATGGCAGGCCTTTCAATATTTATTTATTTTTGTCAACATGTTTAATTTATTGAAGGTCTTTTCTGGTCTTTTTGGTTAGTGAAAATCTTGTTTTCTTAATGTGCACAGAAAATGCTCTTGTGTAAAGTTTGTGCTCTTCATGTTTCTGAAGGACTTAAAACAGAATAAATAGGCTAATTAGTTGTGATAGTTAAAATCTATCAAGTGGCTTTTTCCAAAGACATAACAAATGGAAGAAACCACCTGATAAGTCTGTTTTGCATCTATTTTGAGAGAAATTTTGATAAAGAGGAGTAAATTTTCTGTTTTAAAAAACAGGCATGTGCTGTTAGTTGGCCAGTACTACAAAAGTGCAACGATGTGGTGAATGCAAAATCCATCTGCAGACTTGCGTGGCAGCCCGGAACTGGGAAAGTAAGTGACACTGACGCTCAGTTCTCAACCCTTAAGTTACTTCTTTTACTCCTTGTTAATTTTTAATGTGAGAAATTTGCTTTTTTTATTGTAATTTTATTTGTATTATATATTCTGGAACTCCAAGCCAAATAATTAATACTGAAACTTTAAAAAATTTTATTGTGTGTATGAATGTGATGTTTGGGTCTATGCATGCATGCCATGCCATGCTTGTAGAGAGGAAAGTGGACATCTTAAGTAGAACCTATAAAAAGTCGAGGTGTGGGGCTGGCAAGATGGCTCTATGGGGGCAATAACACTTGCCCCTTTGGACTCTCATAAAAGTGAAAAGATAGATCTTTTCAAATTGTATGTTTTACATGAATTATTTTTATATTTTTCTTTGTATTAATACTTAATAAAACAATTCTGAAAACAGGATTATATGTAGTGTTGAAGAAATGGAAGTCTTTCTCAGAATAAATGACTCAGTGCTACTTCTAGGAATATTCTATAAGTATATTTATACATATGCACTACAGTATAATAAATATACCATTCTATGAGATTGCAAATGTCTTAGGTATTCATTTATAGGGAACTGGTTAAATAAATGTTGGTAGTCCTGAAAGTTAGATTGTCTCTAATGGTTAGAATGAAGAATATCTTTCATATTCTTTTAAAGTAGACTTTAACATATATTAAGTACAAACTATCAAGCTATAAAGTAGTAGGTATAGATAGAATGTTGATGCTTATTAATAAAGACATTGTGATATATGAATATTTAAATACATTTACACGCACATATACATATGCATTCTTTGTTGTTTTATTTTAAGAAGGAGCTCATGATCGAGCTTGCTATGTAGCTAGGAAAGACCTTAAACTCATGCCTCTGCCTCTGAGTGCTCGGAATACAGGCTCACATGGACCCCGCTCACATTCATACTTTTGCAGTCTGCTTACATTTGCCCTTATGAGTAGAACTGGTTCTGATTTGGAGAGACATTCAGGACAGACCCTTTCTTTTGGATCTTGAGAATATTTTTTCTTTGACATGGGAACTGGCTATGCAGCCCAGAAGTCACAGTTCTCCTGCTTCTTCCTGAATGGTGGGGTTATGAGCATGAATAACCACACTCAGCGTCCATAAGTTGAGTGAGCATTTAAGAGTGTAGATTTACTTTAGTAGCATATTTACTAAAATTGGGATGATAAAGAGAATTTTCCTATGGCATGCAAATTCATGAAGCATTCTATATTTTTTCAAAATTCCATAATTCTATTTAAAAATAAATTACATTATTAGATTTTTTTACATTATTAGATTTTAATTAATTAATTTTTATGTGTTTTTATGTTTTGCTTGCATGAATGTCTGTACCTCATGGGCATGCCTAGTGCCTGAGGGCTGGAAGAGGGCATTGGATCGCCTGGGACTGGAGTTACAGACTGTTATGAGCTGCTGTGTAGGTGCTAGGAATCAAATCCAGGCTTTGGAAGAGCAGCCAATAATACCCTTAACTGCTTCACTATCTCTTCAGCCCCACTTTACTTATTTATTTTTATTTTTTAATTTTGGGGGTTTTTTGGAGATAGGGTTTCTCTGCGTAATTTTGGCAGTCCTGGAACTCACTCTGTAAATTAGGCTGGCTTCGAATTCACATAGATCTGCCTGCCTCTACCTCCTGTTGGGTTTTTTAAATATGGAAAAATGTATGTTTTGTTTTGTGTTTTAGTAGTCCTGCTTTTGTTGCTGTTTTTCTTCCTAATCCTGGACCTTGTGTAGTTAAAGCATATATTCTTCCACTGAGATGTCTCCCAGCCCTTCCACAGTTTTGTTTTTTCTACTTAACCTGCTTCTTGGAAGAATATACTAAACAAGAAGTTGATTTCTTTTTTCCTCTTAAGACATTAAAAGTATCATGCAGCCAGTGAGATGTTCAGCAGGTAAAGTGCTGACTACCTGAGTTTGATTCGCTAGACACACCTGGGAGGAGAGAACCGACTGCTGCACATGCCCCATAAGAAATGAATTAATAAATGTAGCTTTAAAAATTAAAATCAAGGACTGACGTTCCTAGCGTCAAAGGGGGTGGAGTTTTACATGTAAGAAGGCTAGATTCTGAGGCTGGAGAGATGGCTCAGCAGTTTAGAGCACCTGCTGCTCTCTTGAGGACCCAGCTTCAATTCCTAGAAACCATATAGTGGTTAACAGACATCTGTAACTCCAGTTCCATAGTGTCCAGTACTCATCTCTGGCCTCCTTGGACACCAGGCATGCAAGGCGTGCAGACATACAAGCACACACACATAAAATAAAAATAAATACATCTTAAAAATAAATACAAGAAAGCTATTCTTTAGAAATAGTTTAAAATATAGTAAAGGGCCAGTGGACTGTCTCTGTGGATAAAGGCACTTGCTGCCAAGCCTGACAACCTGAGTGTTTGCCACAGAACCTAACAAGGTGGAAAGAGAGAAGACTCCTACACATTGTCCTCTGACCTGTCTGTGCACCGAGGCATGCTTGCTCTTTCACATGTAACATGGTATTTATTATGCCTTAGCTACTATACTATTGCTTTGTTTTTCATTGAAAGTAATAGAGTGATGGTCATTTGAGTTTTTTGCTCTTATGTCTTGTAATTACCTAGATTAACTTTATACTCTTTTTCCTCTACAAATTGAATTTATGTAACTTTGTCTTTCCCAATAGTTATTAGCAGTTCCTGTGGAAAAATCTGTTAAGCTGTACAGAAGAGAAACTTGGAGTAATCCATTTGATCTTTCAGATAGTTCTATCACTCAGGTAGGTTTCCTAAGTGACACTTGGAGTAGTAACTGCAGAGAGGATTTAATGCGTACTTCACTAAAAACAGTTGTCAAATAGGAAGAATGTGGGCCGGAGAGATGATTCAGTGGTTCAGAGCACTGGCTGCTCTTCCAGAGAACCCAGGTTTGATTCTCAGCACTCACATGGTGGCTCACAACCATCTATAACTGCAATTTTGGGGATTTGATGCCCTCTTCTGGCCTCCATACAATGCATGCAGATGGTATACAGGCATACATTAAGGCAAAATACCTATACACATAAAAATAAATAAATGGATATGTAAACAACAAAAATAAATTAATAGGAGGTAAAATTACCCTTAGCTTGATAGTAGAGTAAATTATTCTTGAATTTTTACTGTGAGTTTCAGTAAGACTTGTGATTCTAGTCTCCAGAACTTTAGCAGAAGTAAGATTGTTAGGATTTTTTTTTTTCTTTCGTATTTTCTTTTTTAAATATTTATTTTTAGGCAGGGCCTGTCTTAGGGTTTCTATTGCTGTGAAGAGACACTATGGCCCCTGCCACTGTTACAAAGAAAGAACAGTGAATTGGGATAGCTTACATTTTCAGAGGTTAAGTCTATTATCATCATGGTACAACCTGGTGGCACACAGACAGACACGGTGCAAGAAAAGCAGCCCACAGTCCTATATCTTGCCTCAAAGGAAGTGGTCTTACTCACTGGGCATGGCTTGAGCATATATGAGACCTCAAAGCCCACCTCTACCCTACAACAAGACCACACCTAATAGTGCCTCTCCCTTTGGGGGCCATTTCTTTCAAACCATCACAGGATCTCACCACATAGCCCTGTCTGTCCTAGAGTTCTCCATGGCCAGGCTGGCATTGAACTCATAGAGATCTACCCACCTCAGCCTCACTGGGATTAAAAGTGTGTGCCACCATGCCTGGCTAAATTTATTCTTTTTTAAGTGTATGTGTGGTTTTTTTTTTTTTTTTTTTTTTTTTTTTTTTTTTTTTTTTTTTAAGGGGACTGGACTGTGTATGTACCTGGTGTCTGAGGAGGCCAGAAGAGGGCTCTGAATCCCTGGAACTGGAGTTCTAGATGGTTGTAAGCTGGCATGTGAGTGCTAAGAAATGAACCCTGGTCTTCTGCAAAAGCAGCCAGTACGCCTAACCACTGAGTCACCTCTCCATCACCTTGTCATTTTTCTTATTCTGTCTCTTTCATTTCCTTATTTCTCAAATTTTAGGTCTATATTCATTCACTCTATAGTTATGTATGTTTTTGCATTTAAAGGTTCAGGGTAGCAACAGTGACTTACTAAGGTTTGCCTCATTCACTGTCCTCATTTGAATGTTATATTTTCAGAATGATAACATTGTTTTATATTATATTTCATTGTTAAAATTAGGCAGGTACTAATTTTCTCTTGGCTAACAAAACAACATATGCAAATAGCTGAATACTACTTAGAAAGGTTAAAAATAAATATACTTCATTGCCATTTAAAATGTAATTAGAATAATATAAACTCGAGATTTAAAACTATTTGGGGGTGATAAAGTGGCTAGTTTCAAAATGTACAACATTTTTATTAACTGTTTCTTTGTAGACACTCAATATAGTTACCTGGTCTCCCTGTGGGCAGTATTTGGCTGCAGGTACTACTAATGGCTTAATTGTAGTTTGGAATGTGGAAACCAAAGACTGCATGGAAAGGTACAATTTATTGTTTTGTTTTATTAGAGGAAACATTTGCACATTTTGAATGTTAATCAAAATGGAAATAACTCTTAGATTATGAAAACCATTTAGTTTTCTAATATTTATTTACTTATTCATTGTATGTATGTACACACTGGAGAGAGCATGCATACCCAGTATACTGTAGAGATCAGAAGACATTGCTTGGGCTGGAGAGATGGCTCAGCAGTTAAGAGCACTACTGACTGATCTTTCAGAGGTCCTGAGTTTAATTCCCAGCAACCACATGGTGGCTCACAACTACCTTGAATGAGATCTGGTGCCCTCTGCTGGCCTGCAGGCAGAAGACTGTATACATAATAAATAACTAAATCTTAAAAAAAAAAAGAAGACATTGCTTGAGTCAGCTTTTGAATCATGAGGGCTCTAGAACTCAGACTCAGCTTAGCAGCAAGCATCCTTATGCACTGAACCATCTATAGTACCATGTAATGTTTTCATGTTGAAATTTACCTATAAAGTAAAGAAATGTAGTTTTTATTTGTTTTTGGATAGTGCTGAAGGTTGAATGCATGCTAGACAAGTACTCTACCACTGAATCACATTCTCTAGTCCAGTTGACTATCTTTAAAAGAGCCCACTCTTTCATTTTTAGGGTAAAACACGAGAAAGGCTATGCCATTTGTGGCCTGGCCTGGCATCCTACTTATGGTCGAATATGTTATACTGATGTGGAAGGCAACCTTGGGATCCTGGAAAATGTTTGTGACCTCAGTGAAAAGGTGTCAAGCCATAAGGTAATGTGTAGTGTGCTAGAAGACGTTTTCCCACTGTTTCTGCAGTTGTGTGGATTTAGAGAACATAAACCGCCTCATTTTCTTGTGAAATTACAATTTGTGTTTCTATCTTAGACATCTAGTAGTCATTTGTAATAAAGCTGTTTAAATTTGTTCAACCTAGCGTTTCTCAAATAAATTTCACGAGGAAGCTTTGTTTCCTCCACTGAACCCTTTCTAAGTGATTTTCTTGCCTTTTTTTATTCCTTTTTTTTTTGAAATTAAATACATTTTTATTATATCACAGAAACATGGGTTGTAGAGCCCCAGGGGTGTGATCCTTGATCTATGTCTAGCCTGATGAGACCTCATTAGTCTTTATTTTTGATTCTTTACCTAACAGAAGGCAAGGATGGGAAAGATTTTTTAAAAAACAACTCATAAGAATAATTGAACCAAAAAAAAAAAAAAAAAACTTGAACCAGCTGGGGGATGGTGGCACACACCTTTTCAGTCCCAGCACTCTGGAGGCAAAGGTAGGCAGATATCTGAGTTGGAGGCCAGCCTGGTCTACAGAGTTAGTTCTGGGACAGCTAGGGCTGTTACACAGAGAAAACCTGTCTCAAAACAACAACAACAAAGAATAATTGAACTATTTGAGATGCTTATGTGGGGAGGAAAAACAGGCAGGGTAGGTGTCATTTTGTGCTTGGTTGAACAATCTTTAATTGTCTAAATGTTTGGGACATTTTGAAGACCACCAAATCAATAAGGTCAGCCTCTGGCATTATTGGGAATGTGTTTTAAGCCAGCCTTTAGATTTTGACTTTGGCTAAAGGATTTAACATCTGACAAGTTGCTTTGCTGGCCTGTGAAAGTAACCGTAAGAGAAGAATTCATCAATGCTGCTTGAAAGCTAATTCTGTTACAGGCAGTTGTGGAGCTTGGGTTGCTATCCATTCATCCAGGGGTGCCTGGTCTCATTTATCACTAAAGGTGACTGGTATAGAAGAAGTTCTCATGCTGGCACAGTCAGATTCCTTAACAAACTGATCTTTAAAGTAGATTTGGGGGTGTAACACCAGAGGCCGGATCAATGTGATCACAGCCAGGCTCTGAGGTCTTCAATCTCGGGTAACTAAACAGCACCATTAAGCATTCAGAGATTTCTTTAACAGTCTTGTAGAGTCTGATGATTTCAGGACACTGCAGGTAAATGTGAGGTACTGAGTACAGAGTTCAGCAGGATACAGCTTCTACCTTTTTTTTATTTCTTTGTAATTTTCTTTTTAAAATGTTATTTTTTGCATTTTGTATGAGGATTGTTAGATAAATGTTTTAGAGATAATCCTTAAAATTTAATAGCTGAAAGAGATCTCAGATGGCTTATAAACCTTCTCTGCTCTGAATTAGGCTCCACTCCTAAAGCTGCCTGGCTACCTCCTCTGCTTGGTCATCTAACCTTGTTTTATATCTCCTTGCTGCTCTTTTGAGTCTTAGTGTAGACTTCCATTTGAAGGTTGCAGAATAATGCTCCTCCTGAAAACCCTATTAAAACTAAACTTTTTAAAGTAAAGAGTCACATAGGGTGAAGAAGACAATTGAAATAATGGTAGAAATAAAATTTTGCAGAGTAAAAATGCAGAAACATCATTTTAAATTAGGTTTTTGGGAAGTTGGATCTTAATACTACTGTGGTGGAGAACTGAGGTACAACCCAGCTTGCATGACTGGATCCCTAAAGATTCAGAATTTAGTAGCATTAAGCATTTCCCTGAAGTGGGGCTGAAAACAATAGATTTGATTTAATGAGCAAATCAATCCTCCAGTCTCAGTGTCAGTATATACAGATAGGTAACCCTTCTCCTCAAATCCTCATGTCTGTTTTAGCAGATGTTGGAAATTTGTTCTCTAGAAAGGCGAAATTGAGAAGGTACTTGGTCTAGGAATTCTGGAGACAATTAAGTAGCATTAGATGAGGGAGGGTTTGGAAATACTGTACTGAAAATGGGTTTACGTGAAAGCGATGCTTGAATGTTTTAATTCCCATTTCACTTGTATGTGGCTCCTAAAGATTATCTGATTGGGGAGGTCCTTCTGTATGCTGTGAATATGTGTTTCTCTTATTGGTTGATGAAGTATAGGCAGGGCTACCAGACTAGGAGAATGCTGGTAAGAGGAAGGGAGAAAGTGAGTCACCAGGAAGATAGCATGTTGTGAACGGGAAGGTAGGATGCCTGGGCATTTTCTGGTAAGCCAAGACCACAAGGAGACATGCAGATTAATAGAAATAGGTTAATAATTAAGAGAGAGCTAGCCAGTAAGAAGCTTGAGCCATCAGCCAAATAGTTTATAATTAATATAAGCCCCTCTGTGTTTATTTGGGACTAAAGGGCTGCAGGACTGGGCAGGACAGAAACCTTCATCTATAATTACCTCCTTGTATATTCTTATCAGGTATCTTTCCAACAGAAAAGAATTGAGGTGAAGAAAATCTTAACTCTAGGAACAAGTTGTACACGAAAAGAAAAGTGATGCAATAAAATATACCATTAAAATATAGAAATTGTGCCCATGACTTAAGGTTATTGTAAGGACTAAGTGAATTATGTGTTGCTAAGTGTGGCACGGCACTTTTTATGTTTTGGCTATTACGATTTTTATTCAGTCATAAAATAGCTTACATGATGTTAGTAGCCTAAATGTTGTGCATTGATTAAATCAAAGTAAGGATTTGCATTGAGAGGATTGGGATTGGTGAACAGTGTGAGTGTGTGCATGGAGTAGGGGTGGTTGTAAATAGTCACCAAATTCTCATCTTCCATCAAGGAAGTTAATAGGATATGGTAAACACATGGATAAAAGTGGAAAAACTTTAAAAATAGCACTTGAATATTGCTTACTAGCATGTAAGAAAATACTCAAGAAAAAAACCAGAGGCCTGTAGTGGTGGCTCCTACCTTTAATCCCAGTGCTTGGAAAACAGGCAGACAGATCTCTGAATTTCAGGCCAGCCTGGGATACAAAGTGAGCTGCTGTCTCAACAGAAAGAGCTGAAGAAAGGAAAGACATACTCTGCAGAGAAGGGAGTTGATGTCTGTGTAGAAGGTTGTTTTCAGTTTTATGATATGTAGGCCAAGCTCTTCAGTATGCTGATGCAGAAGTGTCACAGTTTAGAGCGCTGCCTAGGTCCAGCAAATTCAAGCCAGTCTGGGCAATTCAGTGAAACCTGGTCTCGAAACAATAATGAAGAAATGTCTGTTCAAAGTACTCTTAGGAATCTTTAATTCTATTCATAATTGAATGTTCTTTCCAGTTTGGTTTAGGAGGCATAGTACATATTTCTTCTTTAGCATTAGTTATTGTTTATCAACTTTACTATAAATGCAAGGCAAAAATTAATTTTTTTCTCAGTAAGAAAATCCCAAGATGTTCTTGGCTAACTTCTGTTCATAAAACTTAGGACTATCACTGGATTAGTTAAAACGATACCATATAGCATCTAGTTATCAACTTAATTACTCATTAAATCACATATTTAAATATATGAATTTGATACCTTTTTTCATTCTCTTTGTTAAACACTAGTTTCCAAGCCATAATTACATTTACTTCCATCTAAAAGATTTGAGATATATGGGTTTTTAATCACTTAACGATGTTTTGATTAGAATCTGGTGGTACCCAAGCATGGATGTGTGTTGACATTTTATGGCTTCGATGGCCTGTAGGAATAACTTATAGTCTCTGCAGTGCATCTGTTCACTGTTTGACCTTGTAGTGATCTGAAAACTTGTTAGTAAAGACACCTGACTCCTCAAGCGTGTTCACATTCCTGGGAAGTACTGGTTAAATCTGTTTTCTTTACCCACCATTTGTGTTTCTCTTGGTTTCATTATGTTATTTCTATAAGCATATAAAAACCAGAAGCTTGGGGCTGGAGAGATGGTTCAGAGGTTAAGAGCACTGCCTGCTCTTCCAGAGGACCTGAGTTCAATTCCCAACAACCACATACATGGTGGCTCACACCCATCTGTAATGAGATATGGTGCCCTCTTCTGGCCAGCAGGCATACATGCAGACAGAACACTGTATACATAATAAATAAATAAATCTTTAATAATAATAAAAGAAAACCAAAAGCTTTTAGAGAGTTGGTTCAAAGTAAATGTGCTTTACCTAACTAATACCTTTTTTTTTTGTTTTTGTTTTTGTTTTTTTTTTAATTAAGTAAATGAGAAGTCAGGCAGAGTTGTGGCATCCCTGTAACCCCAGCACTTAGAGATTCTGAGGGAGGAGAATTAAAAGCTGCAGGCCAGCCAGGCGTTGGTGGCGCACGCCTTTAATCCCAGCACTGGGGAGGCAGAGGAAGGTGGATCTCTGTGAGTTCGAGGCCAGCCTGGTCTCCAGAGTGAGTGCCAAGATAGGCTCCGAAGCTACACAGAGAAACCCTGTCTCGAAAAACCAAAAAAAAAAAAAAGCTGTAGGCCAGCATGGGCTACATAGTGAAGCCCTGTGTCAACCCTCCACCCCAACAAAAGAGAGTATGTTTCACAATGCAGTTGAGAGATTTTGCAGTAACTTTATCATAGTAGTCATGGTGACTTATATTCTGGAGAATAGCTTTTGAGAAGGAAGCTCTGGCTTGTATTTTGGCACATTGTTCTGTTTCCTTCTTTGAAAAGGAATATTAATTTTTTGATAGGGCTCAGCAGAGTATCCAACTGTATCTGGGATCCTCCTAGGGGGTTTCTTCTGGCTCCAAGGCTTGATTCAAGAGTGGCGAACCCAGGATTTGCTTTTAGGCTAGAATCACATTGTGAATGTAGCACCTGCTCTGTTCTCTGAAGGAGCTTCTTTTAGGGTTCCAAAATTCTATTTATGAATTAATATAAAATATTCCTGATCAATGCATTCCTCCTCTCCTTTTTCACTCTAGTTAATTGAGAAGGAATGTGATTTATGACTCTTTACTATTAGTGTCTAACCAGTCAAAGAATTTTTTTAATCCTTAAAAATTTTTTTCAGTTAAAATATTAAACAATATATTTATTCATCAACATGGTACAATTTAGAATTGTAACATACAGTAACAGCAAAACATATTTCTTAGTGTTTTCAACTCCTTGATATGTTACTCTGAGATTCAGAGACAGTAAATCATCATTCCCAGATGTTTTCGAGAGTTTTCAAAATTATGATATTTTGAACATACTTCTAATAATCTTTACATTCTGTAATTTGAACTAAGTAGTACTTACAAAGAGTGCTACAAGAGCATTCAATGAACAACACAGTTTAAAATTCAAGCCCCTACTGGAATCACATGTGGACCCTGTTTAGAGATTTGTTTTGCATTAAAAATGTTATACCTTGAGAGAACTTCCAGAAGACTTACACAAAGTGTACTGTACTGTATATGTGAATTTTGGAAAAAGGCATCTTGGAAGTTACAGTGATTTCACTCTTGCTCCTTCCAATAGTCACAGTGCTTCTATCAGATTCCCAGCTTTCCCCTTCACTCTGATTCTCCCCTAGAGGAACTGCTTGACACTGACAGTATCCATGGTTCTGTCCTCTACAGAATGGGTGCAGTCAAGGGTGAACTTCAAAACTTGCTCCTTTTCTTCCCCCTCTAATCCCCTTTACCACAAGGTTTTTGGTGGGTACCATGATAGTATAGGGGTTTCTTTAGTGTGCCTACATGGTCACTACATGTTATTGAGGAAATTGGGGTTCCCTGTTGTGGGTTCTTAGTTTTATTGATAAAATAATTTAAAATGGGCTTAGGAAGAAGCTTGAGGACTGTTTTATTAGAGTTAGAAAGGAGTACTATAGTAGGCCAGCGGAAATTCCCAGCAGTTGCTGAGAGCCTCGAGGGCGATGAAGAAGAGTCTTTAAGTCAGGCATGGGGGTCAGCAAGCAGTTATGGAAAGCTGTAAGGGGGAGTTGTGAGGGTGTCTTGAGAGCAGCCGAGAGAGCCAGGGTGTCAGGGAAAGGGCGCCTAGTTCTTTAGCAGTATCTGGAAAGGAGGTGATTATTATTATTATTTTTTAATCAAAAGAGCAGGCAGACTTAGCAGAGCTGCATGATGATAGCACTTTAAGTGGCTGCCTGTGTGTAGTATTTGCTTAACGTCTATCTCTGTAAACCTGGCCTGTCCCCAGAGTACAAGACATTTAAAATAAATGCTTTTGCTAGTCACTTTTAAATCATAGGTATGCGCTCGGCAGTTTATACATGTCTAGGAGCCAGGTATGTTGGTGGCTGTCTGTAGTCCTAGCACTTTGCCAGGTAGAGGCAGCAGGATCAGAGGTTTCAGGTCAGTCTCAGTGGCATAGTGAGTATGAGGCCAACAGGAATATATGATACAGTGTTTCCAAAAAACAAACCATAAATGGTTGCCTTTGGGAATCAAGACTGTGCATTTATGTGCAAGGAACTGGGTTTATCCCCGGCACCACATTAACAGCAAAAGAAAAAGAGCAGCCTTTTACCTGATGTGTTTTCTAAATCATTTACTAATATTTCTCATTTAATTTTTCAAGGTGTCTAGTAGAGTGGAAAAGGATTACAATGATCTTTTTGATGGAGATGACACAAATAGTGCTGGCGATTTTCTAAATGACAATGCAGTTGAGATCCCTTCTTTTTCAAAAGGAATTATAAATGATGACGATGATGATGATGACCTCATGCTGACTGGGGATCGTCTTAGACGGCGAAGTCACATCTTGGGAGATGATGAAAACTCAGTTGGTATGAATTTGACTTTGTGTGTATGTGATAATCCCCTTGCTGATTAGTTTTTCAAATGTTATTAAAACTGTCAGATGCCTTGATTAGTGTTTAGAGCTACATTCTAAATCCCATGCTTAAAAAATGTCAAATCAACCATCTAAGCCTTTCTAACAAACTGTAAAATAAGTTATACTCCCAAAAAAGGAAATAATAGAGATTAACTCAATGAAATTGATAATAGAAAAGTTAGAGAGAGGCCTGGCTCAGAGGATAGAGGCACGCACTTATGACCAGCCTTGTCACTTGAGTTTGATTCCCTGATCGCACAAGGTGACAAAAGAAAACTCACTTCCCAGTGTCATCCTCTGACCCCCACACATGGGCCATGGCATGTGCGCATCTGCACTCAAAGACGCACAAAACTAAAGAAGCAAAAACTGGGCTAGTAAGATGGCTCTTCCATCAGATAAAAGTACCTGCCTTTTAAGGCTGACAACCTGGGTTCAGTCTGTGGGATTCACAAGTACTCGGGGAGCACTTTTACCGCCGAGCCATCTCTACAGCCCCAGAACTTTCAAGAAAATTATGATTTGTATGTGTGTCATTTCACTGGTCCACCCAGAACTTTTTTAAAAAGTAAACAGAAATTGATTTCTAGAAATCAAGAGTTCTTAACAAGAATTCTTACAGTACAAACAAGTGTTTTTACTGTAGGTGGGTGGTAGCTAACAGTTCGAGGTGACTATTAAAGTTTGTCGTTACCTAGATTGACATAAGGCACCATGTGCTCTCTCTCTCTCCCAGGACTTTCTCATCAGCACACATTTCTTTAACATTCTGGAAGAGGCAAGTAGTGTGTCAGCGGTTGCTAAGAAATGTAGGGACATCACTCTACTCTTGCTTACTGCTTTTGTTTTTGTTTTTCCAGGTTGTTAATTTTATGGTTGTCTTATATTTCTTTGTACTGTAGATGCTCCAATGCTAAAATCTGATCTTCACAAAGAGGAAGGGGAAGATGACCAGGCAGGCAGTATTCACAGCCTCCCCCTTACAAAATCCCAAAGGCCATTCTACGATGGGCCCATGCCAACACCCCGACAAAAGCCTTTCCAGTCAAGTTCTACACCCTTGCATCTCTCTCACAGATTTATGGTGAGTCCACATTTACACCTAACTTTTAAGTAATTCTTCAGCGTTGTTTTCTCCCTAGAGTTTATTTGATAGATTAAAAAATAATTTTAAAAACCTTGCTTAAGTGGGCTAGAGCATTTTGATTGATAAAATTTTATGATAGGTTTATTTCATGGTTAACTAGAAATTTTAATCTTTTTTCAATATTACTGATGAGCATTTTGTTAATTTAGTTTTGCAAAATGAAATAAATATATAAAAATATGACTATATATCTTATATTACTTGTTGGGATATTTCCAAACCGTATTTCTCAGAATCTCACTGAGTAGCCTAGAGTTCACTATGTAGATCAGGTTGACCTCAAATTTGTGACAGCCTCCCATATTTAGCTTTCTGAGTACTAGGATTATGGGTGTGTACCATCATGCCTGGTTACATACTTTATATAAAATATTATTTGTATTATAAAACACTTGTTGGAAGATGTTTTTATAAGACAACTTTTTTTCTTCTTGGTTTTTTGAGTTTCTTTGTGTAACAGTCCTGGCTGTCCTGGAACTCACTCTGTAGACCAGGCTGGTCTCATACTCACAGAGATCCGCCTACTTCTGCCTCCTGTGTGCTGGGGTTAAAGGTATGCACCACCAACGCCTGGTGAGCTTGTTCTCTTTTAAAACTAGTATCTTAGGGGCTCAGTAGTGATGAGTACTGGCTAGGTTCAATTCCTCACACCCATGTGGCAGCTCACAACAGTCTGTAATTCCAGTCCCAGTGAATCGAATATCCTCTTCTGGCCCCCATAATGGTACGTAGACATCACATGCAGATAAAATACCCACACACATAAAACTTTAAATTTTTAAAAACTAAAAAAGAAAACCTCATATCTTAGTATTTAAAACAAGGTACAACACAGTAGGTATTAAGTATGTTTCTTGAATTGATGAATGAAAATATTAACTTTTGCTTCAAGTTTGAAAGCTTCCAAAAGTTCAGGATGTTATTTATTATTTATTTGATGTTTTCCTTGCTGCAAATGTTTTTATTGAAGACATAGTCTTGGCATAAATTTTTGGGTAAATACAAAGAGTGGTGTTTAATAATAAAACTTTATTGTTATTAAGAATTCTCATCAAGCCAGTTGGTGGTAGTGCACGACTTTAATCTCAGCACTCGGGAGGCAGAGGCAGAGGCAGAGGCAGACGGATCTCTGTGAGTTTGAAGCCAGTTTGGTCTACAGAGTTCTGGAACAGCTGGGGATGTTACACAGAGAAACCATGTTTGGAAAAAAAGAAAATCTCACTAAGTAATACATCTTAGTGTTCAGTATTTTATTTATAGCTATGTTAACATTATGTTCTACGGCCTTGGTGGCACCAGACATGCACATGATGCATATATATGCATGCATACACACATACTTTATATATTTAATCCTATAACAAACTAGTTATTTGAGCAGAAAAATAAATCTGTTGCATTTACATCTTTATTTGTGTAGAAACTCAAAGTCTGAGGTATTTGTTTTGAAGAATTTAATGGTTTGGTTAAGTGCTCTTTCAGTTGTATTATGTAATTCTTTGTTGTTGTTTTTAATATATTTTTAATTTATTAGTTTATTTTTTACATTGCAATCCCAGTTCCCCCTCTCTCTTCTCCTCCTGCTCCCTCCACTTCCCCCACCCCACCTCCCATCTGTTCCTCAGAGAGGATAAGACCTTCCCTTGGAAGTCTACTAAGTCTGTCCTATCATCTCGTTGAGGCATGACCAAAGCACCCTCCTGCCCCATGTCTAGGCTGAGCAAGGTATCTCTCCATATAGAATGGGCTCCACTAAGTCAGTTTGTGTATTAGAGAAAGATCTTGGATCCACTGCCTCATATATTGTCCCAGCTGCACCATTGTCACCTATATTCAGGGAGTCTAGTTCGGTCTTAGGCAGGTTCCCCATTTGTCAGACCACAGTCAGTGATCTCTCACTAGCTCTGGTCAGCTGATTCTGTGGGTTTCCCCATCATGGTCTTGATTCCTTTGTTCATATTATTGCCTCTCCATCACTTCGATTGTACTCCAGGAGCTTGGCCCATTGGTTAGTTATGAAATTCTGCATCTGCTTTCATCTGTTTCTGGAAGAAGGTTTTAGCTTCTCTGGGGTTGTGAATTGTTGCTTTATGTCTGATATCCACTTATGAGTGAGTACATACTATATTTGTCTTTCTGGGTTTTGGTTACTTTACTCAGGATGTTTATTTCTAGTTCTGTCTATTTGCCTGCAAATTTTAGGATGTCATTGTTTCTTACCACTGACTAGTACTCCACTGGGTATATATATCACATTTTCTGTATCCATTCTTTAGTTGAGGGGCATCTAAGTTGTTTTCAAGTTCTGGCTATTATGAATAATGTTGCTATGAATAGAGTTGAGCAGATGTCCTTGTGTGAGTGTGCCTCCTTTGGGTCTTGCAGGATCTTGAGGTAGGTTTATTCCAAATGTTCTGAGAAATCGACATACTGATTTCCACAGAGGCTGTATAAGTTTGTACTCCCACCAGCAATAGAGGAGTGCTCCCCTTACTCCACATCCTCTCCAACTTAAGCTGTCCTTGGTGTTTTTGATTTTAGCCATTTTGATCAGAATAAGATAGAATTTCAGTGGTTTTGATTTGCATTTCCCTGATGATTAAGGATGTTGAGCATTTCCTTAAGTGTCTTTCTACCACTTGAGATTGTTCTGTTGAGAAGTCTCTGTTTAGATCTGTACCCCATTTTAAAATTGGATTGTTTGGTAGTTTGATGTCTAGTTTCTTGAGTTCTTGGTATATTTTGGAGATCAGTCCTCTGTCAGATGTAGGGTTGGTGAAGATCTTTTCTCATTCTGTAGGGAGACATTTTTTTCTTGTTGACCATGTTCTTTGCTTTACAGAAGCTTCTCAGTTTCAGGAGATCCCATTTATTAATTGCTGCTCTCAGTGTCTGTGCTACTGGTATTCTTTTTAGGAAGTGGTCTCCTTTGTCTATGTGTTCACGTGTATTTCCCACTTTTTCTTCTATGAGGTTCAGTGTGGTTGGATTTATATTGAGGTCTTTGATCCATTTGGACTTGAGTTTTTTGCATGGCGATAGATATGGATCTATTTGCATTCTTCTACATGCCCACAGCCAGTTATACCAGCACCATTTGTTGAATGTGTTTTCTTTTTACCATTTTATATTTTTAGCTTCTTTGTCAAAAATTAGGTGTTCATAGGTGTTTGGGTTGATATCAGTGTTTTCGGTTCAATTGCATTGGTTCATCTGTCTGTTTTTATGCAAATTACTTATATAATTCCTAAAATGTTAAACACTTCATTTATTAATTGATTATGTGACTTTTTATAAAGGAGAATAACTAGTCATTGTAGTTCTGATATTACCACAGCATTCTGAAACTGCTGAATTAGATAAAATATGGTAACTCTAGGTACAGATTGAGTTACAGTGTTGTCAGTGCTCTTGTAGTATATAATATTGGGAGTTTCTGTTTTTCTTACTTGATCTTACATACTTGTAGGTGTGGAACTCTGTTGGGATTATTCGCTGCTATAATGATGATCAAGACAGCGCCATAGATGTGGAGTTCCACGACACCTCCATACATCATGCAACGCACCTATCTAACACTTTCAATTACACAATGGGAACTCTTTCCCATGAAGCTGTTTTGTTGGCGTGTGAAAGCACTGATGAATTAGCAAGGTACTTAGCAGGAATCTGGCATCATTGAACAGTTGGTTAAATTGTATCTCCCAGGAACTAGAATTGGGTGTAAATGCCAGTACAGCTCAGAATATGTTTTGCTCTAGTTGTCTCCTCACTGCATCTTCTGCATATGAAAATGATAGGATTTAATTTATAATGCAATAGAGATGAGATTATATTTTATGTTGTTACTGTTATTACTGTAGCATTCATAGAACATTCAAAATGAAAGATTCTTTCATTCCCTTGAAAATTCCCTTTAGAATTCCCCCAGAATTAATAATATGATATGTATTCTTGACATTTTTATATGAACCCTCTTTTTAAAATTTAGTTTATTGTGGTATAATTTATATATAAGTAATCATACTTCAGGTTGATGAATTGACAGATTTGTATATACTGTGAGTGAATACTTTTGTATTATCTGAAAAAAATTTCGTATTTCTTATAATTAAGTCAGTCCTAGTCTTGGATAACTCCTGGCCTCAGTATTTTTGTTTGTTTGTTTTGCCATAGATTAGATTTGAAATCTTTCTTTGAAAAATGAGTTTTTACATCCAAATATAACATTTACCAAGTTTTTTTTTTCTTAGTGGATAGTTTACATGGTTTGATGGGTATGCAGATATCCTTTTGTTCTCCTTAGACATATACCACAGCTCTGTATATTTCCTTTTCATTTTAAAATTAGTAGTCAGAGTCAGTATTTCTTCTGATACCAAATTCAGATGCTACCTGCATTCCAAATGCATGGAGAAAAGGCTGGAAAAGCATCAACTTTTAGCAGTGTTAATAGTTTTACTGATGATATCTGATTGCTTTTTCTTTTTAGGGGTGGAGGGGTTTGGAACTAGCTCTGTAGACCAGGCTGGCTTTGGACTCACAGAGATCCACCTGCCTCTCCCTCCTGAGAGCTGGGATTAAAGACATACAGCTATATGCGATATTTTCATATATAACTAATCATGATGCCAAAGTTTATTTTCTATTTTATCACTACAATTGATTTTAAAGAAATAATCATGAAATCCTGTCTCAGAGGGAAAAAAAATCACATATAAAAATTCAGTTTTTCTTGTTTTTTAATTTATTTTAGCAAGCTTCATTGCCTGCACTTCAGTTCATGGGATTCAAGCAAAGAGTGGATAGTGGATATGCCTCAGAATGAAGATATTGAAGCCATTTGTCTAGGTCAAGGATGGGCTGCTGCTGCGACCACTGCCCTGCTCCTCCGCTTGTTTACTATTGGAGGTGTTCAGAAAGAAGTCTTCTCCCTTCCTGGACCAGTGGTGTCAATGACGGGACACGGAGAACAGCTTTGCATTGTTTACCATAGAGGTAGGTTTTTCCCTGTCTTATATAATACTATACCTTGAGTAAAATGGGAACTACTTGAACTTCTTTGGTTGTGAGCCCTAACGGCTGAGCCATCTCTCCAGCCCCTACTTGAGCTTTTTTGTTGTTATGATGTCCTTTTGTTTCGGATTGTATACCTCCTTTAATATTTACTTAGTATTTTCATCACTATAGTCTTACAATTTAGAAAATGCTGCTGTATCACTAAGCAAGGAAAGTGAGGATGCTTCATTTATAGACTATTGTTACAGAGGGAATTCCAAGGTAAAATCTGGTTTTTACATGTATAAAGTTTATCTTTTGGCAGCAATGTTGTTCAGTATAAATACCTCAAAAATAACCTATAACTGCTAGTGTGAAGGACCAAAACAACAGTGAGTGTGGCTTTTCAGAAGTTGGACCCTCCTTTTCCTTGATTTTTGTCTTTATTCCCTTCCCTGCCCCTGTGTTAACAGAGACCTCATTGAGATTAGTGATTAAGGTTCTTAGTTTGTTTTGTTTTAAACACTCTGGTGAAAATACTGTCTTTCTGGCTCCTGTGACATCCTTTTCTAACTCCTCTCTTCACTGACCCCTCTTTCTCCTTTTGGCTCCTCCTGTTGTGCTGACTTTTTGCCATAGTTAACTTCATCTTCCATGGTCCTCTCTAAAGTCAGAACCTTGCAGTCTGTTGACATCGTACCTGCAATAAAAAATAGATTCTCTCCAGGCGTGTTGCACGCCTTTAATCCTAGCACTTGGGAGGCAGAGGCAGGTAGCTCCTCTCTGAGTTCGAGGCCATTCTGGTCTTCAGAGAGCGTTAGTTCTAGGACTGCCAAGGCTTCACAGAGACCCAGTCTCGAAAAATAAACAGATTCTCCATTTTGTATCTATCTGCAAGTGTAACTGAAATGAAGGTTTCGTGAACAATATTTACCCTTTGATTTCACCTTTTAAAAGTTATTTGGAACTCCAAATTGATACCATGACTCCTGTCATTTTGAAAGCCAGGTGTGGTGGTGTAAACCTTTAATCCCAGCACCTGGGAGGTAGAGGCAGATAGATTTCCTACTTTCAAGGCCATCCTGGTCTACATAAGAGTTCTAGATCAATCAGAAGTGCATGTCTGTGTATATATACACACAGAGACCCTGTCTCCAAACAAACAAAAAGCTACCCCCAAAACATTTTGAGAAACTACTTTAGGGGATGTTAAAATATGGTTTTAAATATGTGCGACCCTGTCTTCTAAATTGGTATATTAGCCCTGTCTCATACCTTGTCTCTGGACTTCCAAATTCAGTTGCTCATTTGAGAATTCATGTGCTGTGTTTTAACTGGCCTTTAGAACTCATCTTGGCCATATAAGTGAAACCTTAACATTTTTGTTTTTTCTTCCGAACTTTCTGCTTGAACAGTTTGGTCACTTCAGTAATTAGTCTATTAACAGTTCATATTAACAAATGCTCAAGCCACACAACTACAAGTCACAAAAACTCCTTCAGTATGGTCAGAATGTGTTTTGTTCTGTGGAGTAGCTCATTCCAAGTCTGCCTCATGTCATTTCATAAACTAACACCCCAGCTATATGTCATACTGTATCGCTGGTCTCCACAAGTCTTTAAGCTCTTAACGCTTGTGTGCTACAGTCTGTTTGCTGCATAGCTGCTTGGATGATCTTTTAAAAGCATAGATCACCTCCCTTTTCTGATTAAATTTCTCTAACTTCCTTTCATTTTTATAATAGCAACCAAACTACTTGCCACACAAGGTGTTTTATTGGTCCTGCATGATCTGAACTTCATCTGTTTCTTCAGCCTCATGCCTTCTGTTGTCTTTCAGGCCATGTTGTGGTCATGCTGGCCACTATGTCCCATGAACTCTTTATTCTTATGTTTGTCATAGGACCTTTCCCGCTCCTGTGTCACTGCATCCATTTTTTAAATATGAGCCCACATGAGGTTATATAACAGAATGACATACACAAAAAAGTTTAGCAGTGGTAAAAGGCTTCTAGATGCAATCATAAATCAGTTGAGAGTGAAGTGTGCAATGAGTTTCTGGGGTTGGACAAGGCTTGTGTTTGTTGGTGTGACTTCACTGGGCTCTGAATGCACCATATGTACACTTGGAACTGTGTGTGCCATCCCACCCCTGGGCACCAGAGAACACCACCTGAAGCACCTTGCCTAAAATGTATATATTATGAGCAGTGTGTCTATTGTACATGGGAAGTTTTCTATTCTTTAATTATTGGAAACAAAGGTATTTTTTTTACCATCATTCCTCAAATAAGTATCTTTGGATTGGGCTGTGTCAAGGGATGCTTGGTTATAAAAACTTGTTATTTTAGTCTCATAAAAAAACGGTGAATACCCCTCCCCCCATATTATCTCCATAAGGTGAAGATTAGGGGACGCTGAGGGAGCAGCTGGATTCTTCTTCACTGTCCTCTGTGTGGGGAGACACACACGTCCCCACAACTGACTGCTAAGCCTCTTGGCTTATCTTCAGGAGCTAATGATCAGAGATGTGTTTTTTTTTAAACTGCCATGATCCCAAGGTTCCATCCTGAAATTTATTTTCCTTTGTATGCATATGTGTAAATGATTTAAAAATAAAACTGTAAAATATTTGTATGAAGAAAAAAAAATGGTGAATGAAGCCAGCAGTGGTGGTACACACCTTTAATCCCGGATCTCAGGAGGCAGAGGCAGATGGATCTCTGTGAGTTGAGGCCAGCCATTTTTGAATGACCCTGTTTTAGCTTCTTTTCCTGTTACTATGATAAAGTACTGAATAGCCTCTGGTGCCTGATACATATGTGCATTTTTCTAGGTACAGGGTTTGATGGAGATCAGTGCCTTGGAGTTCAATTGCTAGAGTTGGGGCAAAAGAAAAAACAAGTTTTGCATGGCGACCCTCTTCCTCTTACAAGGAAATCCTACCTTACATGGCTGGGGTTTTCTGCTGAAGGTAATATAATTTTCTTTCTTTATAATAAAGACATTTCAAGAAGAAAATAATTGTATTATTTTAGTCTTAATTTATTTAAAAATAGTGCTTATGTTTACATTTTTACATTTTAGCGTGACATGGAAACTTCAGTTGTTATGCAGAATAGTGACTGTTACCCTTGTGAGAATCCTGGTGAGAGACCTACGAAGGAAGTTATATTTGTATTATTGTTTTAATTTAATTATGTATATGTTCATGCCCATGGAGCCCAGAAGAGGACATTGAGGTCCCTGGAGCTATAGTTATAGGTGATTGTGAGCCACCTTTGTGTGTTCTGGGAACCAAACTGTAGTCCTCTGTAAGAGTAGCAAGTGCTTTTAACCACTCAGCCATTTCTCCAGCTCTGGAAAACAATATTTTTCTAGTATTTATTTGTTATATAACAAATAGAAAATACAGATCTTCGATAGAATTATGTCTTTTCTAGTAAATTCTATACATAAGTTAAGGAGTTTCTAAGATTGTGTTTCATCTATGTGTGGCTCTTGAACACTTGAAATGTGGCCAGTCTGAATTGAGATATGCCATTCATAAGTAAAAAAGGAATATTAAAAAAAAATTTCAGAAATTCATTTACATTGACTACATATATGTTAAGTCATAATATTTTGGCCATATTGGATTAAATGCTAGAATTTCTTGTTTAAAAGTACTACAATAAACCCCAGCGAACCTAGGTAACAAAGAGGACCCTAAGAGAGACATACATGGAAGGGGAAAAAGACAAGATCCACCTGAGTAAATTGGGAGCATGGGGGACAGGAGGGAAGGCAGAAGGGGAGAGGGGAGTGGGGAAAAAATGTATAGCTCAATTTAAAAAAAAATGGCAAAAGAAAGAAAAAAAATTAAAAGGCCCAATTAGATTGTGTAAACTGGAATTAAATGTGCAAAAAAAGTACTGCAGTAGGATTAAAAGTTACATTTGTGAATCACTTGCTCTTTCTCTTGGACTGTCTTATTACTGACCTGCTTACAGTGATTTATGATAGGCACTTTGAACAGTGCCTTATTTGTGCATCTGCTAACTCTCTTGAGGGCTTAAATATAGCTTACTAGGGATGTATGTCCTTCATTGACTGCTTGGTTTACTTGAAAACCTTAGTTCATCTTTTAACATGTCAGCCATTTCTGTTGGAATGTTGTTGGTTATTTATGCCTGAATAATACTGCTGTGAGTAGCCTCCCTTTCTATAGCTTTTTCTTTTTTCAAGTGCCAACCAGGTCTAGCACCAGTGGAAAATGGTAGCAGATAACAAAAGGGGTAATTCATACCTTCTGAGGAGGAACAGTAGGTGGGCAACAGTGGTGTTCACTATTTTCCTAAGAATTGCTTGCCTGGGAGCTTTTGAGAGAACAGTAATAAGACCATTGAAGAAAAGAGGCATAAAAACAGTACCAAAGCATTACCTTAGAGGAAGTGCTGGTCATTGTATCATCTTTCTTAACCAGAAGACTTAAGATAGATGTTTAAACTTTTTAAAAAGTTGAATTGACTTTAAAATAATTACTGCTATATTCCAGCAGAGGGCATAGTTTTCACTGAAACTGTTTTGTTGTTTTTGTTTTTTAAAATAAATTTTAGTCAGATTTGGGATTTTTTTTTTACTTCTTCAGTTGGGTCTGTGTGGTAATGAAATTTTCCAGAAAGCAACCCTGAATTATCTTCCCCCTACCTTTTGCTTTTGAAATAAAAGTGGAATCCTTAGTATGTGTTTCTGAAGGTTTATTAAATTGTACACAGCTGTATTTTCAAGTGATTTCTTTGTCATTGGTTATTTAGGTACTCCCTGTTATGTGGATTCTGAAGGCTGTGTTCGAATGCTTAACAGAGGGCTTGGGAATACATGGACTCCTGTATGTAACATAAGAGAACACTGCAAGGGAAAATCTGATCACTACTGGGTGGTTGGTGTCCATGAAAATCCCCAGCAGCTAAGGTGAGCCATCGCAAAGTGTAGACAGTTGATTGATGTAGGGGGAGAGGTTGAGACAGGATCTTGCTGCACCACTGAGTCTGGCCTCTAACTCCAACAGTCCTCCATCATGCTCTCCTGAGTGTTGGAATTTACATTTGTACCGTTATGCTTGGCTCCAACTTCCTCTTTGTTGAGACTCCATAAGTATATTTATTTGCTTTTCATCTTCTGCCAACTGATGGAGAAATTAAAATGTGGTCTATCTGTATTATTGAGCTGTAGAAAGTTGTAAATTACTGATACATACTTATAATGTAAATGAACATTGAAAATATTATGCTAAGTAAAAGAAATTAGATCCTAAAGGACTATATATTATTTGATTCCATTTATAAAAACATCCAGCACGGCCGGGCATTGGTGGCGCACATCTTTAATCCCAGCACTCGGGAGGAAGAGGCAGGAGGATCTTTGTGAGTTCAAGTCCAGCCTAGTCTCCAGAACAAGTGCCAGGATAGGCTCCAAAGCTACACAGAGAAA